TATATTTTTCAAGATTTAAAATAGCTACAAAATATTAATAAAACTATTTTTTTGTAATTTTCGTTTTTATATAAGGATAAAATATAAAGTAATATTTTTTGTATTTTTCAAAAATTAAAATGACTACAAAACATTAATAGAACTATATTTTTGGTTATTTTTGAAATTATATAAAGTACAAAAATAGAGTGCAATTTTTGTATTTTTTCAAGTTTATGAGAAATACATAAACTAAAATTTATATATATATTTTTTGTAATTTTTCTTTTTGCAACGAAATAAAGTAAAAATAGTTAAAATGGCTATATTAGACCCAATTTCACATATTCACGCTAAAAATGTGAAAATTCTCGGGGAGGGTCAAAAATCAGGTGTCTACAACCTCGCTCAAAAATCCGAGCTCCCAAGTTTAAGTTATGATAAAAATGGTCAAACCCTCGTTTTTGAAATGTTTAATATTGCCCAGGTATTTCCTTCTTCGCAAACGCGGAAGGACCCTCGCGTTCGCGAAGCACAACTTCGCTTGGGTCCGGCCTCCTTCATCGCGAATGCGATGTCCTGGTCGCAAACGCGATGCACGATCTCCCCCTCCTTCGCGAACGCGAAGGATTAAACTCCCCCCAGCCCCAGCTCCTCTTCGCGAACGCGAGACTCCACTCGCGAACGCGAAGAAGGAAACCGGAACTGGGTTGCTGCAATTTTCTGCAATTTCTCTAAGTTCCAAAATGACCCGTTGAGCATCCGAAACACACCTGAGGCCCCCGGGACCTCAACCAAACATGTCAACCAATCCTAAAACATTATTCAAACTTGTTCCGATCTTCGGAACGTTCAAAACACCAATTTAACATAGGATTCAAGTCTAAGAACTCCAAAACTCTCAAATTACACTTTCGATCAAAAAGTCTACCAAACCTTGTCCGAATGACCTGAAATTTTGCAAGCACGTCACATTCAACACTACGGAGCTACTCCAACTTTTGGAATTCTATTTCGATCCTGATATCAAAATCTCACTATCGAACCGAAAACTTTAAAAATTCGACTTTCGATATTTCAAGCCTAAATAAGCTGCATACCTCCAAAACATAATCCGAACATGCCCCTAAGCCCGAAATCATCCAATGGAGCTAACAGAACCGACGAAATTCCATTCCGAGACCGTCTTCATATTGCTCCGACTACGGTCAAATTTCTAACACTTAAACTCTCATTTAGGAACTAAGTGTCCCAAAACTCTCCTAAACTCAAAACCAAACATCTCGGCAATTTAAAATAGCAGAAACAAATACGGAAAAAGCAGTTTATAGGAAATCGAAAAATAAATTCTTAAAATGACCGGCCGGGTCATTACATTGAATAATTAGGTTAATTTTACAAAATTAGTCTTAATTAGAATTAGGTTAAATTTTGATGTAGTGGAAGAAGCATTATCTATTCCTAGAAGCACTATTGCATTGATTAAACTTATGGAGTGTAAACGATCTCTCTCATAGTTTTATATCCTTCATTTCATAAGCCAGCTTTCTTGGAACTGGGTTTTCTCAGGTGAACCAGCTCATGAATATAAGTGTTCGGTAAAATTGAAAGAAGACTGATACGGCTGTGGGGAAAAAATAGGAAGAGAGAGAAAAGTTTGACTATATTTCTTTACGGACAAGTTATTAATTATCTAAATCATGGTTAGGGCTTTGTTTAGTCAACTAAATTTTAGCCATTAATTAATGAGGAATTTTCAGAATCACTATTGTTTAGTGACTATTAACTTCATATAACTACCATATACATAATTACTTCCTATAGCTACTATTCAGTTGTTACGGTAGTATATTTGCTATATTCCCACTGTTGTATTCATAAATACAACAGCAAAAAATACCTAAAATCATGGCAATCCAGCTGTACGCGCATATATTCGCGTCATGTATTCATGTATTCATGAATATAGTAATGATAATCACCTTAAAAAGGTATGTCCAACTGTCTAATAACAAAAATAATATCAATTAGTGTTATACACTCTTAATATAACTCAACAAAATCAATTCTAGCATGCCTCATTATCAACCCAATTAATTAGAATAATTTTTCAGTTATATATAACCGGTGTATTTAATTTATATATTTAGTGTGTTTCAATATTTTTTTACTGTTGCATTTATTAGATTCAATGTTTGTATTTACTGTATTCGCTATTTTATATTCAGTGTATTCAAATGTATTTGTATTAACAGTATCTTAGTTATTTCTAATATATGTTATTATTGTTGTATTTAGTATATTTCATTGGTTGTATTCACTGTATTTCGATTTGTATTTAGTGTATTTTACTATATTTCACTGTATTTTAAAATTAAAAGTATTCATTATTTATATTCTGTTCTATTTTAATATTTGTATTCAATGTATTTCAATGTTTATGTCCTGTATTCATGCATGAATACATATGTATTTTGCTGTATTGAAAAAATATAAACCTTCGAAATACATAAATACAAGCAAAAAATATATATTTATGCAAAAATACAATGTATTTGAGTGGATTCGTACATAATAAAATGTATTTTTTATCATTGTATGCGATTAAATAGCAAAAAGAGAAGAAAGTTCGCCGGAGATAGCGTTTTTCGGCCAAGCAAAATATTGTATATATTGTATTAAAACTAAAAATAGAGACTGAATAAAAACCATGGCCCTCGAATCTTCTCCGGCATAAAAAATATTGCAATATCCGTGTAAAGGAATCCATTGCAATATTTGGCGTAGAAGAAAGCCGCATTTCCTGTATTCGCTATTTTATATTTAGTGTATTCAAATGTATTTGTATTAATAGTATTTTAGTTATTTCTAACACATATTATTATTGTTGTATTCAATATATTTCATTGGTTGTATTTACTGTATTTCTATTTGTATTCAGTGTATTTTACTATATTTCACTGTATTTTAAAATTAAATGTATTCATTATTTATATTTTGTTCTATTTTAATATTTGTATTCAGTATATTTCAATGTTTATGTCCTATATTCATGCATGGATACATATGTATTTAGCTGTATTGAAAAAATATAAACCTTCGAAATACATAAATACAAACAAAAATATATATTTTTATGCAAAAATACAATGTATTTGAGTGCATTTGTACAAAATACAATGTATTATTTATCATTGTATGCGACTAAATAGCAAAAAGAGAAGAAAGTTCGCCGGAGATAGTGTTTTATGGCCAAGTAAAATATTGTATATATTGTATTAAAACTAAAAATAGAGACTGAATAAAAACCCTGGCCCTCGAATCTTCTCCGGCATAAAAAATATTGCAGTATCCGTTAAAGGAATCCATTGCAATATCTGGCGTAGAAGAAAGCCGCATGACCCTCCTGTTTCAAAGTTGTTGAATCAGCCATTGAAGAGGAAATTTGAAGTTTTCTGCTAAAAACCTAACAATGGTGAATATTTTTTTAAAAAAAAAAAAAAGCGAACAGAAAAAGAAGAAGCTTGCTTCGAAAATTTGGAGCAAAAACTTTAACACTTACCACAATTTTTTGGAGCAAAAACGTTAAAAGTGAGAGAGAATCGTGCTTCAAAAATTGCGAATCCAATCTTGTTGTGAGAGAGATCGTGGAGAGAGAAAGAAAATTTTTTTGGGAGAGAATAATTGAAAGAATGAGAGAGAAAAATAGCGTATTTAATGCCTTAGTGGTAGTGTATACCATAAATACCAGTTTTGCTATAAAAAATAAAAGATAGCTATAGAAAATAATATTTGAAAAGGATTTTAATTTATAATAAATAGAATATAAATCTTTGTTATAGGAGCTCAAATTTCCTTAATTTTAACCTATGCCATGTATCCCTAATCTAAGCTAGAACATAGGGTAAATGGAGAGAAAGAAATGGAGGAGCCGGATCCCATATTAAGTTAGTGTTACAAGTGCATTTGATTCGTCAAAATTGGTATTTGAAGCTTATAGCCACTTTGACCAGCATCTGTGCATGCCATGGTATTGAACATATGGCACCATCTCATTGGTTTCTATTTGACTTGACATGACACGTCTTTTAAGTAACCATATTAATTTTGTGAAGTCCAACCTAAATAATGTTTGGATTTTAACAAGTCTACTCGACGAAGTTAACCGCATTATTCTAAAGATTCAACTTTGTGTATAGTGATCTATTCACTACACTATGATCCATTGTATATGTTCTTATTATTTTTTTAGAAAACTATTTTTTACACGCATATGTTCAAGCTGAAAATTTTCAGCTTACCGAGGATATGACCTTTAATAAGAGAGTGTGGAGGTCGAGAATTAAGGTAGTAGGTTAGTAAGTACTTGAGTGTATTTCTTTTCCAAACCTGTACTTCATTTCATAGTTGTAGTACTAGTGTTATCCTCGCGTTTCCTATTTTTAAGATCACTATTATTACTTGATGTTTCCTTCACTTCGATTGTTGTTACAATTTCTCCGTAGTTCTTTGTCATAACTATTGTGATTTTGCTTTTATTGAGCCGAGGGTATTCCGGAAATAACCCCTCTACTTTTACAAGATAGGGATAAGGTCTACATACGTACTACCCTTCTCAGACCTTACTTGTGGGAATACTTTGGGTATGTTGTTGTTGTACATATATATTGTGAAATTTTCTTGAGAAGCGGTATCTGATGATTTCCTTTACTAAAGGGTGTCTCAACCATTGAATGGGACTATACACTGCTGAAGAAAAACACTCAGAATGAAAGAATGGAGAAGATATTAAGAGGCAGTAGTGAGGAACAATGTGTTTGTGTGTGTGTATATTGGCCGTTGAAAAATAAAAAAATGAGCTTGCATATCTGGAGCAACAGAGCTCCTAAAGAGAAGTAGGTCTCGGCAGTCATTAGTCACTCACCTTTGCAGGGAATTGAGATGAAGAGCTCCATATTGAAGATGGAGTTCATGCCTTTTTCTCTTGAGCTTGAGTAAGGATTTCCCTGTCAGTTAGCAGGAGAAGATATAACTAGTCCATTTTGCTGTCAGATCTTCATTAAAAGGAAGTAATTTCATTAACTATCGTACGCTAATCGAATTTGAAGATTCAATACACAAGAGAGAATACAAATAAAAAGGTCTAGAAATCTGGTAGTGATACAAGGTTGAATGTTCAGGGTTGTAGTTTTAGCGCACCTTACGAATTTACAGGGGTAGATAATTGATCTTTGATTTCCTATGTTGCAAACATTTGGTGAACTTTTAATCCTCTTTGGAACAATGATTGTCGAACAGCCTGGCGGATCTGACGCTCATGTTTCTCTAGGAGCTCTTCAACTGTTTGTGTTTGAGATAGCAATGGTCCAGAAAATTCGACTTTATCCCCTTGATCTTGTACCTGTTTGTAGTCCAATTCAGGAATATTAATAGAAGCCCGAGATAAAATATGGAGTCCAAATTTTATGCATCCCATAAAATGGAGTGCAAAAGCAATGGTATAGTATTTTATTATGAGCGATACATATAAACTGATGAGGGAAAATGTGCTTATTAAATAAGACTCTTGACAAAAGCTTTTGACTAACCAAATTGATTCTCTTGATAGCAGTTTCCTCTTTTAGATATTGTGTCAGTGACAGTTCTTGTGAATGGTAACCATCAGAAGCATCAAAGGAATCTGGCCGCTCTAATTGGCTCCAACTTTGACGAATTGCATGCTTGGTGGATTCATAGGTATCCTGGTCCATATAATTTGTCTGCTTTGCATCGATAAGTTCATAGTTGTCTTGTCCTTTTGGCTCCATGTTATTTTTCACATGCAATGCAATTGAAGGTTCAAAAATAAGGCTTCTCGAACTAGTTCTCCTTCGTGATCTTACTGATGAATCATCGAACCTTCTTTTTGCCCATGCAAAACCACTTGATCCTGAAATTTGAAGTGGACCTGAAAAGGGGACATCACCTTGAGATGCATTCTTGACATGAAAAGTCTTTACCATCATATCAACTGATGGCTTAGGTCGCTCAAGACTTGTAATCGTATCTCTTTCTTCTTGAGCAGTTACATTATTGCTGTCACTTATATGAGTACCTTTATTTTGGATGGGCAAATTCTGCAGAAATGAAAATTTAGTTTCGTTTCCATAATAAAGGGACTGAAGACAAAATGCACTCATACTTATAGAAAGGAAAAAAAATACTACAAAAAAGCAACATGCAGTTATGGGAATTATTTAAAAAGTGAAAGGTTGAGATGAAAAAGTTGGACCTCTTCTGGTGCTAGTTTACGGAGGCCATTCTGCTTTCTAGTTAACTTTCTTGTTGGATCAGGTACACGGACTATTCCACATGGCTTCTTCCTGAAAATTGTTGGAATCATAACTTAGGTTAGATCCGTGCGAAACTCCTAAAAACTGTATCAACTGCATGAACTTTTGTCAAAACCAAAGAGCAAGACAGTAAACTCATTCTACCAGATTAAGTGGTGCAACTTTAGTCATACAGTTTTATTCCCCTCCCTCTTCAATGTCAAGGTTTCAACATGGAAAGTTGCATATTTTTGGTTGAGTCAGACAGAGCTAGAACAATCTAATTGGATGAGTGGAAGTCGAGATGGTTTGGTAAGCAAGCAATTCATTCTGTAGGCACCACTTTCAAGTTCTGTCTCTCCCGCTCTCTTGCTCCCAGAGATATTCGTGAGTCCAGCTTTTGAAAGATTTTGGAGTATATGTCAACTGATTTTTTTTCACTACTCATCCTCGAGTTGTAGTCTAGTTCAAACATAGATGACTTGAAAATTATCTTGGACGAACCTCAAGCTGGATGAGTCAATAGCATAAGCGTATTGTATTCAATAGTTATGCTTATGCCGAATTACTGACTTGATTTGAGATAATCAAACCTTTTATATAATCCATAAGAATCATAATTCAGAAGGATACTTGCTGCTTATCCCTTTCTCTCAGGTCAGTTTGGGTTCGGGGAGGGACAGCGTAAAGCACTCTTGTCTAATCACATGATTTTCCTTAAATGTAAATCAAGTGCTGTAAACTATTAAGTCAAAAGTTCTTTCTAACATAATATGACCTAAATCTTCACCTTTTTGCATCTTCATGATATGTGGCATCTATCTCTTTGCTTGGTGGGTACTTTGGCAGGCTTGAAGGATCACAAGCATGAGGCTTTGTCTTGAAGTACTACACAGATCATTCGAAAAAGTGTTAGCAATCTTGAAATTTATGTATCATTGAGATAACAGGCAATGATTGAGTTGTTAGATAAATATAACTTGACAAAAAGATTGAGAATTCAGGCTTAAACTCACAAACAAAGAGCACATTGGAAAGATAGGAGAAGAATAATTTTCATTATACTATATATATCATCTCAGATTAAGTGTGAGTTCGACAACATTGAACTAACAAATGCTACCTGAGATGCAAGGGCAGAAGAAGCGTTCCCACGTTTGTGTGGCTCCACAGAAAGAAGAGTTTCTATGAGTGAGACTGCACTTTTTGGTAAATCTTTAAAGGTGTTCCAAAGACAGCTCTCATAAGGATGTTGTGGTTTAAATATAGTCGCGTGAGGAAGTTTAGATCTCTTCCAGTAATCATCTGGTGGAGATCCACAAAGTTTAAAAACTTTATGCAGCTGTTCAACCTAAATCACATAGATAAATTGCATTGTTATCAAGGATGAAGGCAAGAAATGGAGTAAAAAGTGTAAAGGGTAAAGTTCTAATGATTCAGGTTAGCAGACAAGCACTTTATCATATTTTCTATTCTCATAAGAGAAGTAATTTGAATAAAGGAGGTACCTCAGTTCTCCCCTGAAGAATTGGTTTACCAGTAAGAATTTCCGCAAAGACACATCCAACACTCCAGAGATCCACAGAAGCTCCATAATCTGTGGCTCCCAACAAAAGTTCTGGAGGTCGATACCATAAAGTGACAACTCGACTGGTTAGTGGTTGCTTTGTTCCAAGGTCAGAGAAGTTCGCCAATCCAAAGTCTGCAACCTTTAGAATTCCCTCATTATTTACAAGAAGGTTTGCACCTTTGATATCCCGATGCATTATACCTCGAGAATGACAATGGTCAAGTCCAGATAGCAACTGTTTCATTAAGCATTTAACCTGCAAAAGGAGCAGCACACCTTTAGCACAAACATAAATATTATGCACTCATCAGGTCGAAGAGAGGGCAAAAATAGCTAGATTAAAAGAGAATAAGCTGCAAACTAATGTTAACTATGAGAAGCTAACGAACCTGTGATTCATTGAACTCGACTTCAGGACAGGACAGGAGTCCTGAAATATCATGCTCCATGTACTCAAACACAAGATATATGCTAGAAGATAATCTGGAGGTAATTATCCCCTCTAACTTCATTATATTGGGATGGTCAAGCCTACGAAGAATCAAAATTTCTCGTGCCATAAATCTAACACTTTCTGGCTCAAAGTTATAAAATCGCACTTTCTTCAGTGCAACTGTCCTTCCACTTTCCAGATCGCGTGCTCTGAATACGCTGCTATATGTACCCTGACCTATCTGTTACAGCAGTTAAACCACATAAAGAAAACATAATTCATCAGCAAGAAAGCTTAATTAGCAAAATTATGAATAGTAAGAAAGTTTGACTCTGTAGGAATAGAAAGATAGTTGTCTGATGACGACCAGAGACCTTCAACTCCTTTCATGGAGTAAATTTGTAACTAGTTAATAAGCTTAAAATTTGTTGATGTCTCAAAAAGTTATGAAGGTGGTTTGGTGGTATCAATTGCTTTGTCAAAAGGTTGTGCATTGAACCACTGCTTCGTGTAGCACGGGACGAATATTGAAGTAATATACACTTGAATACAGAATGCTGTTGTTATAAGATAGCAAAACTATAACACAAGGAACTAAGAGTACACAGAAAGGAACCTCAACCTAACAGAATTACAGAATTCGAAAAGACAACTAATGAATTGGAGCGGTCATACAAAAAGGTTAAAACTTTATCACTTCAGTCAACAGAAAATACTACTATCTTCATCTCATTCATCCCCTTTTGTTCCTAGTTTCCATGTGCTCTCCTCCTCACCC